TCAGTATGCACCTAAACATCAGCTGCTAGTTTCTGGAGGTAGGAAGGGATATATCTGCATCTTTGACATCAGACAGAGGCAAATCCTTTACACCTTCCAAGCACATGAATCAGCTGTTAAGGCCCTTGCACTGGATCCTTCTGAGGACTATTTTGTTACAGGCTCAGCAGAAGGTAACATGAAGGTAAGGTATCAGAGGAGCTGAGTTGCTGGGAGAGTATTTAGCTGAAGTAGTGTATTGACAGATGTTGATCAGCATGCTGTAAATAGCCAGATGAATGCGGTAACAAAACAAAAACAAACTCAAAAAACCCAAACCTACATTTGATTTACAGGATGCTTGCCTTATGTTTGTAATGTAAACTTAAATATACTAATATCCTTCTAAAGCAAGCAGGTTTTGTTCTCCACTAAAGAAGATTAAACCGTCTTTTTAAAGTTGTGTGACTGAATTTTAAGTGGATAAAGCAAAGTGCATGATTCTGAAATCTTAGCTTTATTTTTCTCTCTTAAAGATGTTCTGGTTTTGCCTTTGGATATTTCTCTGTAACACAGGGGGCTACATTGTGTAAAGTTTCTGTAACACCAAGTTCTGTTTTTTGCTCTTGATGCTGTAGCCCCAGACCGCTACTAAGACATCACAGTAATAAGAAACAAACAGCAACAAAAAAAAAAAAGAAATACAGTCCCTGTTCTAAAGGGCTTATTTCCTGAATACTAAAGGAATGAAATACAAGAACGTGGTAAAGAAAAGGAGAATACAGTTTCTTTCCTTTTAGCTGGACTGCATACTGTTTAACAGGTGCTTTCTGCGCCTCTGCACACTTCATGGCCTGGCCTTCATGAGAGCTCCTGCAACTTAGAACACAATAGACAGCTCAGACAGCTGTGCTACCACTCTGCATGCTTACCAATTATGCAGCTTACTCTCTGCAGCACTCCTAAGGAGAAAAGCATTTCCAGCTGCTGGAAAACTGACAGTAGTCATCTTGGATAAAAATGCAACCTGTCCATTTCTGCAGCTTTCATAGGGGGGAAGCTGGGAGGGGCACTACTGATCAGGTAACACAGGGCAGCTTCACCCTGCTGAGTAATCAGCTGGCCCCACATTAAGGTAGCCTTAAGCTGTCTTGCCTTATGCTTCATTAGGAGCCTCTCAAGACTCTTGGACATGTTGTAATTGTTGCCAATAGAAAACAAAAAATACCCTTTAGCTTTGCTGAACAGCCAGGAATCTGAAACATTAGGGAAAAAATACAAATCCTAATTTTAATCTCCTTTTGTCATTTGTCATTCTTTTGATACAGGTGTGGAGACTGACTGGCTATAACTTAATTCATTCATTTAAAAATGAACATGCTAAGCAGTCTATTTTCAGAAATATTGGTGCTGGTGTCACCCAGATTGAAACTGTGCAAGGCAATCGTATCTTCTCCTGTGGAGCAGACGGCACGCTGAAAATGAGGGTTCTTCCCAATGCTTTCAATGTACCTTCAGGCATTTTTGACATTCTGTAGCATTATGTAAGCTAATCCTGGTTTTATATAATGTCCCTTTAAGTAGCTAAAAACACAGTGATATGCACTGCGGGGAAAGGAGATATTCAGTTTCCTTCAAAGCAGTTACTACAGCATTAAGTATTATGGGGAAAAAGATTTAAAAAAAAAAAAAAAAAGCAGACTTTTACAACAGGTATATTTTGAGTATGCCCATAAGGATCACTGGCGTGGAAATGCATGTACTGTATTGTAAAAGCAAAGAATTAAACGCAGTACAGTCAGTCATAGGTGAGGTTATTGCTCAGTAACCCACAAGCTGCATTTAGTAACTCTATTGTAAAGATTCTGACAAATGTCAGTCACTTAACAAGCACTGTGGCTCTACAAGTCAGTAAGCATTTCTGATGTGATTCCGATTATTTTTATTCCAGTTTTTCCCACTAATCGAAGCATGTGTACAACTTCTCATTGTAAGATAGTTTAGTTTTAATTAAGGGTACTCAGTGTATTTGATTTTTGCAAGAAAGTGTAATGGATGCAAATGCCGTGGAACATGTGCAATCAAGAACGTACTGTGAGATGTATCATTTTATGCTGAGATTTTTTTTTCCCCAGTTAGTATTAATACACAGTTGATACTGTAACTTGCACATCAACACATTTTTAAATGCAATGTTTTTTAATTTGCACACTATTTTCCTTTCTTTCTGATAGCTATGTTTTCTATTGGACACCTGCCTTTACTTTAGGAATGTATTGTAAGCACTAAATGTTTGTAGTGAAGACATCCATGATTCTAGTCAGCTTTTAGTTTTGAAATTCATTTGTCCAGAAAATACTTCATTAAATGAAGCTGTTAAGAGAATACCAATAGAACGTATAATGCCACATTTCAGATGAATGTCAGGCTTTATGTGGCCAGCTAGTAAATAGTGGATAAAACTGGTAATTAAATTATTACCACAGTATATTGTATAAACTATGCACAGTTCAATATTGTTTGCTTGTAATATAACTAGCTACTGTTGTCAGATGTATTTTTCTGTTGTAAACAAACAAACATTCTTAAGAGACTGGAATGAATGTCTGCATATTTAAATGTTAACAAACTGTCTTATTCCTCCAATGAAAATTTTGATGTCTGTGCTGTATTGTAAAATATACTAGAATAAAAAGCACCTTTCTCCAAAGGTGATTTTAAATTGCAGGCTGTGAAGTATGGGAAGTATGACAAGAAAGAAGAGTAAATGTCGTCATTTAGTTTTCCCTTTGTAAGTTAAATAAATTACTTTTATTTCATGGAACAGTCCAGTCCAGAACTCTTCCTTATATGTAAATAGATTTAACTAAACCTTCAGTAGATTGACTGGATACTGCCTGAGCTAGCTTTAACTTGACCTCAGATTGTACTGAGATAAAAAGAATTAGCTGTTTGCATTTTATTTTCAGCTGTCCTAGAAAAGCATAAGGTTAACAGAATTTAGGTCTTCATCTCCACCAAAGGCAGCTACAAGAAACACAGCCTGGTTCTGCCACGGAGAAAAGAGGCAGAATTTGCTGGTCCTCCTTCTCCAAGAGCTTGATCTGAGTGGTTCAACAATGACATTCAGAAATTTAACATGACTTAAGACAGGCACATTATCTAGAAACTGGAACATCTGGCTTGAACTGTATTTGCCCAAGTATATTGCAGAGGTTTTTTTTCTTTTTTTTTTTTAGCCAAGAAGTCTACTTTAGTACTGTAATTCAATTTTTTAAAAAACACCACCACCACAACAAAAAAAAAAAACAAAACAAAACAAAAAACCACCACGAAAAAAACTACCAACCAAAAAAACAAACCACACCCCACAAAAATCAAAAGAAGCCCACATACACAAAACCATAGCTCTGGACTGCGACGTTTCGCACTCTTTATAGGTAGATTTCTTGGTACATGAGCTTTGATATATATACTAGTTCAAAGTATTAATTATGCTTTTTTGTTTCCCTCTGCATCTCTCTCCTTAGCATGCAAGGCCTGAATCCTGGCCTTAGTGAAACCAGCAAGTATGCTGAGAAGAGAGGATGCAGCCCAGGCCCAGCCATCACTGTATCGCACACTGAAGCTTAGCTCCAGCAGAGGTATTTTTCCAGCACATTTGCTAGACTAGGTTCTGCAGGCACAGGCATTCCCAAATTCATTAATCCCTTTGATAGTGCCTGGATGTCACATAAGTATTAAACAGCTCAGTGCAGTTCAGGGTTTAAGTGATAACTTTGCTTCTAAATATTTGGATGAGCTCCGTGAACTTTACCAATATACACAGGCAGCTTAGAAATTCAGGTACGGGTTTTCTGAGAGCGTGATTTTGAATTTAGATATACAAAGCAACAGTAGGGATTTATGTTTCAGCGTTAAATTTAGAAATCTGAAATACCAGAACAAAATGAAAATCAAAAAGTTCCTATTATTTCTCACCTCTAGCTCTCAAAAATTTGAATGTGAGTGGGCAATCTCTGAATTAAGATTAACAACAAAAAAAGTCACTAAGCACTATGATGAATACATGCATTCAGCTGTTTTATTTTTCTAAGAATAGCAGGAAAAAAAGTATATCCTTCATTTTATGATTTCATTTGTACGGATGAACGTGGGGAAAATTTTTTGTAGAAATATACCTTACTATAATTAAGTATAGTTATAAGCAAGTTACAGTGGTATAGGTTACATGGCAGTGAGGGGCAAGGCAGGGTCTGCAGCAGCACAAGCAACTCACACACTGTTAAAAAGGGAATTTTAATCATAAATTTTACATCTTTTCTTCAATTTTATACCTCATTACTTTTCTTCCCACGCTCCATTTACTAAATGTAATTTCACGTATATTTCATAATGCCATTATTCCCACTTTCCGTGTACTTGGGCTGGATTTTGCTTTTAATTATGTAACAGTTGACTGGACTTGTCAAATTTGAAGCTTTCTGCTTTTTTTCTATTTAAACAACTATTTCCATCCCCATTATTTTTAACAGTTGTATATCTTTGTCCAAAAAAAATATTCACAGAGAATCAGTGGAAAGTATTAAGTGAAAATGAGAAAGGTATTTGTACACAGAAGTTCATTATTTAGACATTTATACTAGACTATAATCGCTGACTAGAAAATGATGGCAGATCAGATGATTGCAACCGAAAGTTATAAATAGTCTCTGCTGAGCACATGACCATGGAATAATCAATGTACATTAGATATAATTATCAGCTGAATAACAGGGGAAAACAAAAGCAAGTCTGTGCTGTGTGCCAGCTGCAATACTGAACAGCCATTCTTTTGAAAAGATGAGCATGGCCTATATAATTGAAGTGTGTTTATACAAAGGTGCCCGACCTCCCTTTTATGCACACTCACAAACCACCCTCAGTGAACAGAAAATTATACCAAGTGAAGAGACCCCCACACGTATATCATATAGCTTTAAATAATCTTATTTAGTCAAACAGGGCTCCCATACACAACATTTTAAAATATATTCATCTGCCAAAATGTACAGGGTATACCATTAAGCTCCCATTCTCCCACGTGTACAGATTCTTATCTCTCAGGCTGTATGAAAGCATAGCAAGAACAGACTGTGAAGACCGTAACTCAAACCTTGCATCAATCTGCTTCTCTTTCAATAAATCAAAAGCAAAACTTACTGTCATATCCTTAGTATCAGTAACATACATAATGCCACATGCTATGAATGCGTTACCAGCCTTGGACTTAGGATAAGTAGTATTGATATGCCGAATGACTGAAAATGTTTCTTCATCAATATGCGCTACTATTATATTTTCATCAGTGCTTGAGGCATATATAATCCAAAGACCCTTCTCATCCACTGCTACGTTGAAATACGTCTTCGAGTTAGAAAAGAGGTAGTTACGACCATGATATAAGGCATTTTCAATTAGCAGTGTGCCCAACGATGCTTTATCAAGCCCAAGTCTGAAAGGAAATAAAGTAAGTATTCAGTATGTTGTGTTAAAAATTCATTTTTATACACACTGGTTCATTGAATCAATTCAGAGCGCATTATTACTGATAGAAGCATTGTTGAAAATACTTGAGTTCAAGGACCATTCTGATGTCTTTTAAGATGAAGTACTCCACTCAGAGCACACTAGGAGAAAATTCCAAAGTAATAACCAATCTAAAAGGTGCACAAGAGCATGAACTCGCTTTGGTAGGTTTCACTTTATTTAGTCTATGAGCTTTATTATCACTAGGATGAAAGAAGCAACTAAAAGGAATGGGTACGAAAAAGAATTACATACCAGGTGAAGGCCCAAACTTGTGAAGTGAAATCTGTACCAAAGTTTGCTTTCTACTAGGTGGGAACTAAAGGGAGAAAATGTGATTGACCAAACCAGCATGAATTCTGGGCAGGTTCACCTAGTCTTAGAGTTCCTCTTTTGAAAACAGTTCAGATAATGCAGTGATTTGCTCAAGTAAACATCAAAGGAATAAAAATTCTGCTTTTGCAGAGCCAAAATTCTGACCGCATGCTGGCCTCCAACAGAACAGCCTGAATGTCTCATCACTGATGTATAAAATTGTTTTTATTCCTTCAAATTCCTCAATAGGATGATAATCTGAGGACAGCAGCAGAGCAGCTAAATTGAGTTCCTCTACTAGTTTAAGAGGGTAATCAGCTACTATCGAGACACATTTGCAGTTAGCATTTAATCACTGAGTAACACAGTGCTTCAGCAAAGGCAGAGAGAGTATGCTTTATCCTTTTGAGTAATGCCTTCTGTAATGAAGCACATTTCATTGTCTGACTTCCATCTAACTGTATAGCTCTGTTCCTCAAATAGGGGAAAAACATTACTCAATACAGGAATCTGCTACAGTTACAAAAGTTTTCTGAAAAGAAAGGCTTAATGACAGGAACATTTCAGATCCAGGAACTTCAAACAGAAGGAAAAATACTGGAAGAATAATTTCTCTGTGGAAGAGGCACTGATAGCATAGACTGCAAAACTCATCCTCAGAAAAGTCAAGAATGACTAACTAGATGATTCCCCTCAGCTTTTGTAAAACTCATGTCTGCAGCACCTCCATATTCCAGCAGCATGTATGTGCAATAAAAAGAAGGCTTCAAGGCTGGAGAAGATTTCTGAGAAACATGCATTTCAACCCAGTTAATCTTGTTAGTTGCCTCAGATTTGTAAATAATCTCATGCAAGGACAAGGGCTAGAAGGACAGCCCTTAGCAGGAATAGTCACATAGAAATGCAGGTTTTCTTCTGGATTTTTTTTCTATAGAGTGCCAACAAGATAAAAAGCATCTCAAGATTCATTAGAAATGTGCAAGATCTGCAACACAGAACACTCTGTCTTTTCCTCTTTTACATGAAAATCCTGAATGGAGCAGAAAAGTGAGGTTTCATTCCCGAGGTTCTCTTCCGCTCCCCCAGTCAAGGACAGTCTAGCCTAGAAATCCAAATGGTTCAGAAATTCCTTAATCTTCTGGCACCTTGGGGTAAATGACAAGATATAGCGTAATATTTTCATCAACCGCAGGGAACTCAAGCTACAGACACTTTTCTGATCACTAAGATGAGTGAAGTCATCCAAAAATAACAGAGGTGGGAAAACATGTTATGAAACAAAGGAAGAACAGATGAAGCAATCATAATATCAGGGATCTGACCATCATGAGAAAACCTGCCACAGGTCAGACAAACCCGGTTTTACCAGCTTTTAAATATGACAGGAAACTCCTTTTAAATATTTTTTTCAACATTTGCAAGACGAACCAACCAGGTCCTCACCTGTTCTTTCCATTAAATCAACACAAAAACCCAGAAGCTTTTCTGCAGCCCAAAATCAAGGACTTCACTCTCACAGAATTCACAGTGCCTCATTCTATCTGTGCTGAAGGTAAATAATCTTAGAGTGAATAACTGCGCAGAAAGGCCATCTCTCAGCAACTTCTTAGAGAGGTTTTGAAAATTCCACAAATAGCTTGTGTTCAGCTGGACGTGAAGGCATTTCCCAATTAACGGTACCCAAGCAAAGGTGAGAAACCTCTGTCCTATCACTGTGTATTGCTTAGGCAGAGATGGTCTTTTACAGATGTGTAAACAAAAAGCCCTGAAGATATTTGAAGGAGGTTGCCGAAAAGTGGGCTTGTCTTTGGAAGAATAAATATTATAGAATCCAAGCAGCTTGCTCGCATTCCTTGGCATCCAAATGAATATAGGAAGGCAGCACTCACACCTGCTTGGGGATAGACATCAAAGTATAGTAATGTTCTTGGCTCAAGCATCAGAGTCATGTAAGAGAACTTGAAAGCAGATGCAATCTTTCACTTGCCCTTGGACTGTCTTTCTTTGGCTCTTCCCACAAGATGAGATTTTTTTTTTTTTTTATTTGTATTGTCTGTCTCTGTCCTCAGTAGGAACTGAAGAAACAGAGATGTAATTCCCAGTTCCAATTCAGGGAGATACATTGGGAGAGTTGTAGGAACTTCTTATTACAAGGCAATCAAACAGTGGAGCTACTCCTCCACAACGGAATGTGCAATTCACCAGGTCGCCATGTCCTCAGCTGGCGCCTTAGCGCATTCCTCTGCACTAGCAGCATTAACTCAACCCCTGCCAGCTAAGAACAGCGCTACCCGAGAGCAAAGCATTCGCGTCAACCCAGCAAGAAGCTCTGGAAAGCCAAGTTCCACAAGTGGGCTACAATCATATAACCGCTCATCTGTGTCCCCCAAACTGCACCGGAACCAATTCTTACTCTGATGCAAGTAAACACACAGCTTATTTTTTTTTAAATCAAATACTTTTTTCTGACCCCCCCCAACTTCCTTAGTCAGTTCCCATTTCCTTCTTACAATTACGAACACAGCAAAGAATCCAAGTGTGAGAACACCCACAGCAATGCAGTGTACAATAGAAACACGCTGGACCCCAGGACAGCCAAAAGAAAAATCTGTTGTCACCTCTGCACATGACATCTTGTTAATCTGGAGGCCCAGTTGTCCTATCATGTAGTAACTACTCAGGTTAACCACTTAGACACAGAGCTGAACAATGCTTAAAGAACTGACTGTCACAGCAGAGTAATGGACCTGGACTGCCCTCCCATTCCTCTCCTCCCACAGCACCCGCACACGGAAGGCCGGTGGCCCGCATTCTAGTTACAGATTAGAAAGAATTAGTTGTTCTGTTCTGGAAAGAATTCTGAACCATTCCTCCATTCTTTCTATTCTAGATAGGACCAAAAAGAAACATAAAATGGTACAAGGGAAGTGGTCTGCATTTCTGAGTTTCACCTCTGTCACTCTAACCTATTCCTCCTCCTTCCACAACATGACTTGCCTTAAGCCAACTGGTTTTGACTTACTTCAGAATGACATTGGTTCCTCCCTTTTGATAGTACAGATGATTGTTTTGTACTGCATGACCACATCCATAAAAGAATCCTGTGATGTTAATGATCCTGTAGCTGTCATTCAGCAAGGCATTGGAATTCTCATATTCTTTTATAGAGTTTCCTAAACGAAGAGGAAAACGTGAAAAAAACAGGACTATCATTTGGTTCATCTAACCTTGAAATCTCTACCCTAAAATTCAATCCCAATCAAATATCTGAAAGATAACAATTGTATTTGTTTTTTCAATAGTGACTGAACTTGCTAGAATGTGATAAAATAATCCAGTGACAAACACCAAAAAAATCTATAGAGGTCATGTTCAAGGGCCTGCTTCCCACCGACCTGACGGGCCCTAATTCTGAACACAGTTGGTAAATACACAGAAAATATTTCCTTTTTCCACTTAGGTCCTGGAACTTTTCCTGCACTAAATGTAGCTCATGCAGCATCTGATTCATTTTCATGCCTAGCTAAATGAAAAGGCAAAACTCCTAGCTACAATTTAGGGAAGTAAGGCCGTAGGAAACTGTTGAAAGAAAAGAGTAAAAGGGCATGAACAACAGGCATTTAAACTTGGATTGATTAAAAAAACCTAAAATCCTCAAAATCTGATGTTGACTCTGAAAATGTCTAAAGATACTGCAAATGTCTATAACCATATGTATACAGTCAAGTATTATAGAGGTAATATGGAAAACACTCTGAAAAAGATGTGGGTAAAAACCCATCATACTTGATTAGAAATATTAGTTGAGGTTGAAGGAATTAAGACAGTAATGTTAGTATAACAACTGATTTTTGATCAGTGACTACTACTAGCGTACCTGAAAAATGCATGGTAAGCCAAATCCTTTCATCGCTTATATTTGCGGGTTCCCGCATCCAAGTTCCAAACGTTTGCTGTACACTGACAAAGTGAACAGGACTTCCTACAGATGTTATGACACATTCTGGTAGAGAAAAAGCACATGGCCGTTATCTGTGACATGCAAACAGTAAGCAGCAGTTAGTCACGCTCTGCAGCAGGTTACCAGCTTTTTTTGAAGGACCAGGGGTTCTGTCTTCAGCTTTTCCAGCCAGGGTATCATCATTCGGTACAGCGCATGTCTCACCTGGAGTTGAGAGAGAAAGGGTAAAGCATGTCATTTTTCTATATTTGACATGACAGATGGGCACATCAGCGACCCACTAAAATAAAGGAATGACAACTGGGATTTCGTTTCATCTGGGGACAAAGCTTAGGTTGGTCTGGTCAAAACATGAGATAAAAAAAGACTTGCTCTCACTTCTGCCAAGGAAATGAAGTGTTTGGGCTGGTTTGTTTCTGTAAAGCTGTCAGGCTGACACTCAACTTTGAGAAGTAACTAATTTTGCTCAACAGATTCAATTCCTTAGCTGTGAATTTCTGAGTGACTGCTTAGAAAGACAGAGTTGCCCCTTTCCTTAGATAACTTTAGACAACTGAGATAGCTGGCAGCTGACTGATTTAGCAGTAATGCCAAAAATGGTTTCTTAGGAATGAGTGATGGCCACTCAAAAGCTTCATGCCCAAGCCTACATCCACCAGCAGAGGGGGTGGACTCTGTAGGCAGCACTGGGATCCAGTTTTGCTCATGCTGTTAATGCCCAAGAGAGTAATAAAGTACTAACACGTACACTGAGCACATAATGCATAAGAATGCAGGTCAGTCGTCCATGCCATTAAAGCAGCAATATGAAACTGAAATTACACACTATGTTCCTTAGGCACATAGAAATGGTTCACATTAGAAACAAACAAACACCTGGAAACCTTTTTCCTCACCCCTCAACAACTTGAAGAGTAACTGGTTGGGTTTTCTCTTAGCATTTACTGTTAAAACAATGCCTGAATGAAATTATTTATGGACCCTTTTCTGTAAACCCAGATACCTCTCCTCTGCCTTTAAAACAATGCAACACATTTCAGTTTGCTTAGAATGAATGACCACAGAGAACAGTTCTCAGCTCTTTGCCGAAGATACCCTGATTTCACTATAGCCTTGCTTTCTAATTCCATTCTTAACTTTCATCTCCTTACACATTTCACACTGCTTGACATGCAGGCTGCAAATTCTTTTAGACATGCATTTTCATTGTTGCCTTCCAATATATTTCTGGGATTTACAGGGCTGTGATGAAGTTTAAATGAGAAAGAGAGTAAAAATATGAAATAACTATAAAGTAATGCTGAAAGGGTACTGTGACATTCAGGAAAGAAAGGACAGATCATACTGCATTGTTGTTCTTTAGGTTATATCCTCTCTTTGTTCTTGCAGAAGGAAACTACGCCAAGACAGAGCACGAACAACACATATTTCTCCCACCCATTTATCTAGGACAGTTGGTGATACGACACTGAAAGTTTGTAAGCGATCACAGCGTATCTCCAAAATAAGGCACAGTCAATCCAGCCATGGGAAGATGAATGCCTATAGCTAGAATCTAGCAATCCCTCTAGATCCCTTTCCAGCTTCTCATCTCAAAACATTGTCAAAATATCTCAAAAAAGGAAGCCACTCAGAGGAAATTATAAGTTGCAATGCGCAAGTTAGTTTTCTTGGGCTGAGTCTAACAGATACAGTTAACTGAACGAGCAGTTCCCTATACAGTAGTTTATCTAAGACTACAGAACAGTCAAGGACCCGGTCAGTGCTTGTAGTGAGGCTGAGTGCACTGTTTGCATTTGAGAATATTTGCAATACCCTCGGAGGAGTTTCAGCTGCATGAAACAGAAAGCAACTAAGATTAAGAAGACAGTTTTCAGTCGGAGACTCTTACGTGAAATTTTCACTGCTTTCTTTCCATCAAAAAAAGATAAATATCCTACTGATTCCTATCATAAAATATTCTGGCTGAGAGTTAATGGAGTTTATAAGACATTAAAACTATTGATTTGGTCTGTCTGGGGAGGATGGGAAGCATGAAGCAAGAGAGTGTGGAGCAGGGATGTTTTGTTTCTTTTAGAATTAGCTAACAGTACCGTTGGGAACAAATACACCTGAGCTTCCAACTAATTATTCTCTTCTCTTAAAGAAATAAAGTTTTACCTGATTCAAAATTTAATTTAAAGAAACCATTCTTGTAGTCTTATGTAATAAGTTAATTACAGTTGTAAATCAGCATGTGTATTCTCTTTCCTTCAAAGGGATATGAATATTTAATTACAAAAAGCTGTTTTATTCTTTGAATTTTGGTAATAATGTCTCACAGCCTACTGACTCATAAAACACAAATGCTCATTGAGGAAGGTCTCATCTTTGCAGAGTTATTTGAGTATAACTCCCATTTGCACACCAGGATTTAATATCCACCAGATAGCTTATCCTCCAAAGCACTTCAGTCTGTTTCAACACTTGAAAAGAGGCTACCTGAGTAAATGGTCCAATTACATCTTGTACAACAGTTCATGCATTTCTGAATTTCAAATAGGATGAGACTTGTGCTCCAGCTATCTACTTTCCATTGTAAGGAGGCTCTTTGGGCTCTGTTCTGATACTTCAATACCCAGAATCTCCTGATTGAGGTTCTAACACACTACTACAATTATAATTACATGCTATATTAAAAATAAGAGGCGGAAATAATTGATATATGTTCCACCCAGTATTAAATATTCACTGGTTAATAACATTTATAATAGTAATAAAAAAGATTTTTCATCTCAGCAAACTGTGCAGAATGATGGCAACATAAAAACATATCACCCTCTTAACGGTGAGACATACAAATTGCTCTGCTTGTTTCACACTTAATAACTGCACGAAGGTCTTGTGCTATTCCCTTTTGGTATGCCTATCAAGAAACTACATTCCCAGTTACAAAAGAAACCCTATCTTACCAAACACTATCACAGATAACTCTCCTCTTTTCTAGAAATGTGAAAGATTCGTAACTCAGACATCCTTCGCTATTCTTTTATAGGACCACTCTGACCTCCCTGAAAACAGGCATCTCAGCTGGGAGGAAAATTCATCCCAGAACTGCAGGGTAGCAACAGTCACTGAAAGCTGCAACTATCTCGAATGCAATACCATCCAGGGGTAAAAGAGAAGGACAGCCAGATCCAGTATGTATATCCAAACCCAAAAGTTTGCTTCCATTCTCAAGCTGGAGTAAGCTAGAAATACAATGCTGTTCTTGCACCGGCTTCTCTTTGCTTTCCGTAATCATCTAATACCTTGAACCAAAATTTTCCAGTTACTACAACAGCACAATGTTTGTAGAACCTATGTTCCTGAGCATCCAAACCACCAGCTCCTCTCATCTTCTACTGCTACTTCTGCACTGGCAAAAAAACAAAAAAGGTTCTCCTCTTCCAGTATGTAGAAATGATTTGAAACGCAAGTCTCAAAACCAGATTTTTTTTGAGAGGGAGTTTTCAGGAACGTATGATAACGTTTTTGGCCAAAATTTTCAGAAGTCCAGCAACTTCAGAGATCCATCTTGAAATACTTCCAAAAGATGGCTGCTGATTTTCACAACAAAATGAGTAACAACATCCTTGATTTCCAAGCACCAGCCTTCCCCACCGCACCCGCTCCCCCTGCCCCCCATGTGCCTGAACTGGCACCAAAAAGCATTAGAAAAATCAAACCCTCATTTAATCCTTCTGATTCAAACCAGAATTGTTTAGAGCATTAGAGACATCAAAGATCACAGAGAATACATTTTCTTTTCAATGTTGTTGAAAATAAAGCTGATTACAAAAGTTGCAAATACTTTCACAGAGAGTCTCAATGCCCCTGTTAACCTCTTAGAAGCCATTCCCACTCAAACATGCAAAAAGAAATCCAAGCCTATCTGAAAAACCCAGTTAAAATGAAATTTTTCTATGATAAATATAAATATCTGTAAAAATATAGTAAGAAAAGTGTTTACTATAGAAGGTTTTTAGAATACGAATACAGTCTTCGGTATCATGTTGACACCAACACTCTTCCACAAAGTATTAAGCTATTATTAATATATTTAAATCCATATAAACTTCAGGCATGGAAAAAATACGCTCAGTACACTGTATCTGTCAATGTATTCACAAAATGCACTGTTCAAGACAGCAGAGGACTTCCAACCAGCCACCTGCTGGAAGAGGAGGTATATGCCAACTAACTTTCTCCCTACGTGCTCCACGCAGCAGAGGCAGCGCTTTACTCATCAGAAAACACACATGGGCACATGCGCACACACACATGGATTTTATCTGAGGCACACCTTTAACCTGTTTGAGAAAAAGATCTTCTAAGACACGGACAGAAGTTGTGACATGAAACACTGACATGATTTTTCAACAACCCACAATATCAAGTTCAATCCATGAGGATTTACTGGTATCCAGCACACCTGAAAATCATGCCAGAGATATCACATGGCAAACTCTTAATTATGTCAGCACCCTAATCAGTGACTTAAAGAAAAAAAAGTGTAGCAGCTGCTACACTTCAGCATACAGTCAATGACCCGGCAGTCTGGATACTCATAGTTTGGTTGTAACAGTATCTGCCGTTTGAAGGGAATCTACGCTGTCTTTAATTTTTTTCTTTCTGAATATTGGAATTTTTTTCCTTTCTGAATATTAGAATTAGCCATATATCTCACCAACACAGCCACAGTAAAGGAAATAAAAGAGACTTATGATCCACCTGTCATTCAGGATACAATAATGATGAATAGCAACAATGGAAAAGAACTCAAGATCACCCTGCTCCAAAATTCACATATTCAAATGGATGTAAGTCCCGGAGAATCCTTTTGTATTCCTCCAGCTTTGAAAAGTCTTAGCTAGTTCAAGCTTGCTTCAGTTCTGCCAATGATCAGGCAATTTCATTTTGTAGAATACAGTGAAATGTAGCCTGCTTAACAGGTGTTACATTTACATGTAAAACTAAAACTCAGCATTTAAAAGCTAAAAATTTCAACTGCATTTCTCTTACTTCCCAAATATACCCCATCTAACAGAAAACACCATGTGTAATCCTTTGCCCGAGCATTAGCATAGCATGATTAAAAGACTAATATTATACTGGAGATAGCTTGCTGCCTTGTCCAAATTATATTTCAGCAAAACACCTAAGCACATGCACAGCTTTAAGTTTGTGCAGTTTTACTGATGCCAGCAAAATTAAACACACGCTTACTGTTTTGTGAGACTTGGAGCAATGGGTTTAATCTTGAACCTGTTTATAATACTAAAAAAAAGAACACTGGAAAGAACTAACCTGTGCATTTGCTGCTGTATATGTTCTCCTGAAGCTGTGCTTTACCTTTACCTTTACGTTTTCCTGGAGGCCCTGGGGGTCCAGGTGGTCCAGGGGGCCCTGGTGGTCCAGGTTCACCTTTTGCACCTATGTACAAAACAGAGTACAAGGTCACAGGCCCTGTAGGCAACAGGCAACCTGCAGAGAACTGTACGAGTCCACATGAGAGACTTTGAGAGATCTCTAAAACAGCCTCTCTCTTAAGAGGTTTCTGCGTACAGAAATATGGCACAATAAACTCATTGGGAGTGTTTGTTAGAAGGTGAAGCATACAGAACTTCACAAGTTGTAGGACATCAATGCAATTTATCTGTCTGGGTTACGGGCACATTAGAGAGACAAAGCACCGTTACCTTTTACTTACTGTATTCTAAGACCTCAGCTTCAGAGGCTACAGTGCTATAATTTTACACAACTTATACTTGTGGCTGCTTCATGTATTCCTGAGTGGAAATCTGCCCCTCATTTTCTGGTAGAAAAATAAAACTACACTGCAAGAAAGAGCAGGAGGTCGTCAACTGTCTGGAAGTGTACTGGAAAGGGTGGAATTCATGTACATCTCAACCCAAAGCCCAAGCAGAAAAGTTGTCGTGAAGACTTGCATTAAAAAGGGAACATAATCTCCTGGGCAGAGCAATACTCAAACTTGCCTGTGGATAACACGGTTATGCTGGTTGATCCTACTCTTGCAGATCACATTCATGCTTCAGAAGCAGAGTATATGTTTTTCTGTCAAGTACACTGTTGCAAGAGAGCTCCTAAGAGCACTTCTTCCTACCTTCTAATATCACATCATTGCTTGCATCCCCCTTTTCACCCTTTGCTCCTCTAGCGCCTTTTACGCCTGGTATACCATCCTTGCCAGGCAAACCCATTTCTCCAGGTTCTCCTTTCTGTCCTTGATCACCTTTTGGTCCTGGTACGCCTACAAACAAAAAGCATTTCAGTACCAAGAAGTTCCAGTATTAAGCATCAATCAATACATTTTTGTAATACAAAACGTATTCGCTCTAGTCGGTTTTTTTAATCCGTTTTTAACTGGGTAGCTGTAATTTGTTCTGATTTCAAAACAACACTGTAACCTAACATGAAGGGAAATGGTGTATGATGCGTCTGGTGCAAATAACACATTCTTTACCTAGTGATTGCTGAGTTTTGAACATGAAATATACAGACCCGGGCCTCACCAACACTGGCTGGAGAATTTCTGGGTAAGTAGGAATGCTAAGGAAAGACGTGAAGTAATATATTTATTTCACATTTGTAAGGCATTAAAGAAGGGCGTTTTCATGGTTCTTCTAGACTTTTTCTTAAAGTAATTACGCACTAACATTACAACACACATTGCACTTTTAACTTCTTCCACTGTCCCAACAGAGCATAGATACAGCTACCTAGTACCATTTTCACGTGGCTACTATAACCCTCCCTCTACACCTTCGAAGCATGATCAATCCACATACTTTTTGTGCTTGATCATGTAGTAAAGTAACATATTTAATAAGATATTCCTTTGTCCTGTGCGATTTAGTTTTGCAATAAGGAAAAGAATGGTGCGTCTGTACAACTGACACATCAAAACCTTGCACCCTCTACTTTTGTGGCAGTTAGCATTTTCTTGCTTTAGCAGAGAGAAACATAAGAGTTGTACAAATAGAAATGTCAGTGTTCTTGCAGACATAGGTTTCAAATACTTGTTAATTTGTTAATACTTGAGAAGAAAATGCTAGGGTTTCTACTTATGGTTTTACTATTTGAATTGATTTTGTAAAATCAGAAACAGAATTACAGTTTTGGGGAGAAATCTGAAATGTGTCTTTGGCACAGCTGCCCCCTGACTCTTTGAAGACCGGTTCGCACTTTCATTTCCGACGTTAAAAATTTGTTGAGGATACCAAAGTGACAGACCAAGTAGTGTCTCAAGATAGAGTAGACAATCATTCCACTTGGACCTGCCAGCAAGCCCATATGGCTAGGGGCAAAAGCCAGAATAATAGATGGGCCACCATAAAAACCAACCTGCTAACAGCCTGTCCACTCATCAACATACCCTTCCTCTTCCCCACCTCCTCTCAATTCTACCATTCTGAGGCCCTTTTGTCTCCTTACCCTCCTACCCTGCACAACCTGCTGCTTTCTCACTCTGCCTTGAAGGCACCAGTTATCCAACAGCTTGCACACAGCTACTGTGCATCAGGTAAGTCAGCGGATAAACCAATTACTGCGGTACAACTTCACAGTAGTGCACCGGCTCCGAGCACAGCAGCTGCCTACCTGCCGTTTCAGCTACGGCACAGTGACCCGTGGCACCCAGCACTTCTGCTGCTGGGTCTCTCTGTTCTTAGCAGAAACATGTCATGGTGAAATCAGTCAGTTGGGCCAAATAGTTTCCTCGCCCAGCATGGAAAATTGCTTGTGGGCTACACACAGCCTATGGGCTATTTAGCAGAGCTGCTCTGTCTGTCTCAGCTACATTAAAATAGTACCTAGAAACCCTACTGCACTACAAAGTTTATCTGAGACTGAATAAAAAAAAAGCTGCTCCACGAGTTTCCAGCCTAAATGGACAATATAGAAAAGGAGAAAAACATGGAAATATACTGTTCGTGCCATAGTTACTATGAATCTGGAACCAAAACTGTGGTAACATAGAACAACTTCCACCCCCAAACTCTGGCCTTCTTTTTTTAAGACATCTGAAGTCAAAGGGCCATTATGTTGGCAGGTTGAGGGAATGGAAATATTCTTACAACAACAGTATTTACTAGCAAGTTCAGACTACTGAGATTCAATTAAATGCATTCAATAGCTTTAATTTGCAATATGCTATAGTGTATGCATACCACCTTCCTCGCTGTGGAGTAAGTCTAACATAAACTACCAAAGCTTAGTGTAAGACAATGAATGCTACAGAATTCTGTAACATGCAACTTCTTTGTAAACATTGAAACCCTTCTCCCTGTACAAAGGTCTAAAGGTAACTACATCTGAATATAACAGTAAGAAAGGATTTCTTTTTTAAACAACCACCAAAAAAAAAATACCTATTTTTCCTCTTTTTCCATTTATTCCTGGTTCTCCCTTTTGTCCTGGTATACCTGGGACTCCATCTGATCCATTGTAGCCAGGCAGTCCGTCAAGTCCAGGAGGCCCTGAACAAACCAAACAGCATAACTGAATTTTCACTGTTAAATTCAATTTATCTTTAGATCTACTATATTTACATGTAGTATGTTTTGAGAGATATATATATTCCTTAGACATACAAAATCCAGTAATTGGCCATTATGTTCAATATGCCAACAGAGTATCCTCCTTAAAAAAACCAACCAACCAAACAAAAAACCCCCAAAAACCAAACCACCAACAAAAAGCCCACCCCAAACCAAGCAATACAAACAAAAAACACCCACCCACAACAACCAAACAAAAAACTGTGAAACCAAACTTAAAGGTAAGGTGCTTGTTTGCCCTGGCCTTGGCATACGAAAACTGACTGAAATGAATACTGCACACATTTGGCATTAAGGCCAGCGCAGATCAGCCTTTTGGATTCCACTTCAAGGACAAACACAGTGGAACCTTCCTATTTCTGAATTTGACAGCGACTATAACATCTTCCACAAGCCACGTAAGCTTTAATGTTACTTATGACATTGGCTAGACTAATCTAACGCACGAAAAGCATTTACCTCCTTGTCCAGAATACCGTAGTGCCAAACCATGACTGGTTGCTACAGAAGACGTCACCCCCTCTTCGTTGCTATTTGAACCCCCACAAACAAAAAGTACCTGATACTTCTCTGGTACAGAGAAGTATTCTAAGCAGACCCACAGCTAAAGAAGCACAGAAGGAAAGCAAGGAACCATTCACATAGCCTAGCAACCACAAGAGTGAGAGCAGAAAGAGAGAATTAAATAAGAAAGGAGGAAAAGTTATGGGGGAGGTGGGAGGGTGGAATCAGTAACCAACGTTTTTTAAAGAGATGTTTTTTAGTGTTAAATTATAATATCAGTTTACTCAGGTTTTTTATATGTATATATACTCATCTCTTCAGCTAAATGCTACTTAAATGCTCTTAACTCCATCTGGTTTTGATCAAATATGTTTTAACAAATGTGAAACTATTCCGTTCCCTCCACTCGAGAAGTATAATGTCTCAAACCTTCTCCTTCTCAGAAGGGGCAGGAGTTGACCTAAACACAAAGATTATAAAGGCAGGCAGGCATTCAACCCTCCCTCATTCCAATTAGCAAAGGAAGACTATTCTATAAAAGAGACATTTCTCCATTTCAACATTTTGTACCAGCAACTGTTTCAATTACCCAAAAACGTTAGTGCAATTGTCCAAGCATCTTACCTGGGGGACCAGGGGGGCCTACAAGAACAAGCAAAAGAACACAAGCAAGAAGAAATGGTGAGTTTAACCTAGCAAGAAAACAAAAAGCAATTCCAAATTGAATTGATTAGCATTAGATCCACCTCTACAATGTAATCTCACTGGCAGGGGCTTAGGTGCCTTTACCAAGCCATGGGTGCAAGGCATCTAGCAAGCATTACATTTCCTTTATATAAGTGTTCTCCAAGATCCTGTAATGGCAGAAGAATAGCTTTACAATACTGATGAATGTCACAATTAAAAATCCTGTTGAAAACAGATGCTACACTTCTCTGTGTTTTGCACGATATTTCATTGCAGTTCAGGATTCAGACTATTTAAATAGGAGGGGGGGGGGGGGAAAAAAAAGTCTTGTCATTCCTATTAACTACATCTAAATCATAATCAGGTTTTGCACATGTAACTGTTCTCCAGACTGGACCAAGCTCCCCACAGAACCTGGTTGGTGTATTAGAAATTGGACTTGCTTCAGTTATTCAGCACCATGTAATACAATAAAATCTGTCTCACTCTCTGACTTAGTTCAAGTATAGGGCCTTAATAAGAAGAAAGCGTAGCAGGCAAGAATAAAGAAAGAATAAACCAGAAAATGTTTTTGTAACAAGATTTATCTTATATGATCCCCCATACACATTTAAAAAAAAAAAAAAAAAAACCAAAACCAAAAAAACCCCAAAACACAAACCAAGCAGGAAAAGCAGGTTAGAAGAATACAAAGAAAGGTGGCAGTTGCATTTAAAGAACCAAATTAGTTCTGTGAACATTTTTATCCAGCCAACGAAGTACTGTCTTGTTTCAACAAAACTCTCTACAACAGAACATAACAGTAATTACTAGATTTCCCTAAAGATGACAATTTTCAGCATTAATTAGAAAGCATTATGAGTAAAGTGAAAACCATTTTATAATACCATTACAGCAATTATCCCTTTTAATCAGTACAGGCAGTAACATCCGTTAACATCTTTCTGCCAATTTTCCAGTAAATGGCCATTTTTTCCACGCTACAATGTTACGTCCATTAGTGCGTTCAATTACTTCCCCCTCTCAAAAACTGAGGCTCTTGATTACCCTTGCATAAGCAGAAGATAAGTAAGAAAGGTGCCCGAAAGGTAGCAAACGTCACAGAGGCCTATAGCAGAGAAAGCCGGTAAGAGAGACAAAATTTAATACTGTCAAGAGAGCAAAAAGGTGCAGAGGCACCAAGTAGCATCAATGCAAAAGTCTGGAGCCCAAAGAAACAAACTTTTAGGTTGTCTGTGGTTCAGCCTCAGTTGTAACCAGAACCGATCTACAATTTCAGAAGTAGTATTTAACATGTGTGTACGATGGTAATTCTCATTTATGTTGAAATCAGTTGAGCCAAATGGGTCTTAGAGCCATTTGAAAATACAAACCAGACAGCACGTGAAGCGTTTTCTTAAACTCATAAAAAGTGGCTTATTTCTAATCTTCTCATTTCCAAAAAGAACACGTGACTCAGTCTGTTATAGACTTCAAAGCTGGACCATGGCCCCTAAATTGGCCACTACCTGACATTCGCTTCACCAACTCGCACAGAAACAGCTCACGTCTTCTCTTGTCCCAGCCATCGGCTGTCCCAGCTCCCCCCGGTAACCCGTGAAACCCAACCTCCTGTTACTGTGCTCCAAGGCAGGGGAGGCAAGCACGTTGCCCCTCGAAGTCCCCCTACTCCACAGCAGTTACAACAATGGAAGCAATTTCTACACCCTATATGTTCATCCCATGTTAGCCTTGAAGTGTGGGAACGTACGCAAAAATACCAAGATTGAACCCTCAACTAGTATTTTAAACACCCAAGTCTACAAGATTTACTTATGAAAATTACATGGGAAAGAAATAGCTCCAAGTAACATCAAGTAAGCTCCTTGAATTCCAGCATTTATAGTAAATAGGTATAGATAAGTCCCAAAGTAGTACCTATTATCTTTTTTTAAATAAATAACCCGACTGAGATGTAAATTCTGATAAATAGTTCTTTGACATAGTCATTGACCTCAAGTTCTTTGAAAACATTGTAATTCTGTAATGCTGAAGGTAAGATAGGTGTAACGCTTAAGGCAATAAACATACCTGTTAAGCATATCCCTTTTGTGCTGTTACATAAATCCACCATCACTCGGACCTAATATTGTAAAGAAAGTGAAGTTGAAAACAATGCATGCCATAAAATCATCTAGTTTACTTTGCCTACACGAATAATTCCAAAAAATAAAGATACAACTGTCCACTCCGTCCTTACAAGAATATACTATTTAGAACCACCTTAACACTGTAACACCATCCATTTCTTCAGGCAGCGATTCTCTCACAGGAATCTGTTCAATACACCTCATTTTAAACCTTACTGAAAACGTGAAGAGATTGGGCAGACAACTCCATACACCATCTAGGCATTAAAGTTCACACATTACTGTAAAACACGTGTGGTTGGCCATGCATTGACTCTATCAGTGGAAGGTATTAAAAGCCAACATCAGCCAATAAAAATTACATTCCGTTTTATTTTATATTCATATCAAATGATGGATACTTTTCCAGTATAGCACATCCGGTGAGAAAGATGAGCTATGTTCCAAGTAAGCAATTTCTTATCTTGAAAGATCTGCAAATTTGGAATAGACCTTCATCCATTCAGAATACTTCATCCCAACAATGAGAGACTTCATAAAAACCAGGCTGGAAGAGACATTCCTACAGATGCTTTTAATCTAGAGTAGACTAAAATTTTATCAATTAAAAAGTCATCTTTACAAAATACCTGGGTTTCGGCTGGGCAAACATTCACATTACGTGTCCTGCATGCTGAGAGTCAACACTCCAAAATGTTTTGCAACTCATCTAAACATCCAGCAGAAACGAGAACATTGTGAACACGAGCACTGGAAGTGCCTCAGCTCTTTATGGGAAAGTCTAACGTTTATAGTCAGAAAAGGGAAAGATTATCATTTCAGGGCTGTGCAATATATGATAACTTATGAACGTATTTACCCAGAGCTGCCTGCGTATTCACCTTTGTACAATTACTCTATTTACAAGTAACGGAATGCGCTAGTCCCAAAAGACAGAACAAACAAGGGCAAGTCAATCTGAAAGGCAGACTGACATTCAATCCTAGCAAGGTTATTTGCCGCTATCAATCTTTATTTTTAAAATTAATGCATCATTAGCTTCAAGGAACAAATCTAACAGGCTCAAATAAAGGACAAGTATTTTGATGGTAAGCGTTCTTTTGCTGCAAAATCAAACTATATTTGACGATGGATTTCAATTCTGTCAGATACATACTGAGAATTTACTGGATTCCAGACTGTACTGGAACAGCTCTTATATTTAGAAGTTTTAGACTCAATTTAAATTAGCTGAGAAGAGCTAACTGGTTTTGAATATCAGAATTTGCTTGCTCTCTTTGCCCTCACCCCCTGAAAAACACTTAGCTTCTACCCTCTAATTTGTAAAATACACGTTGTCCATGCGTGCTCTAATTCAAACTGTGTTTTAATCTAAATGGTTTTGTTGAGGTTGCTGAAGTGATTGCAACGTGCTCTGGGGCCCTCCAATTATCTCAGCAGCATTGTTTTTACTAATCAGTGCAATTCAGGTGACAATTAAAAAACATGGCACTCAAGAAGTGCCTTCCTTTTCCAATCTATTCAAAGTTTTTCAACTATATGACCTACATATTTTTTCAACTACATGACCCAGTTCCTACCGAGCAAGGGTAATCTTTCCACTGAAGTGCAAAAAACCGTGCAGTTTCGCCAGAGAAAGGACATGCAGCTCTCCTCTCCTGACCCATCAAATGCTACCGTAAAGGTAAAACTCACCGAAAGGGCACGATCAATTTCACAGCACCGCGATGGGAAAGCAATACCCAGTACCTCACGCGGAGATGCTGGACGGCAGAAAACACGTGGGAGGTTCCTCAGCGGTGCAGAGATTTAAAAATCCCAAACCTTGGAAACTGGAAGGCTTTTATCGCAACTAAATTTTTGAAGTTTCATTAAATCCACGCTACCGACAAACAACTTCACTCCAATTGTCTACGTAACTATCGTTTTAAAAGTTTAATCATAACCCGTAAGCCACATGGCCCAACAACTCTTCAGACCTCAGCATTTACAGACGACAGTAGGCAACTACTGCTTCTTAGGCAGGATACTCCTCAAAGCACCAAGCAGGTGTTTTCGCGCAACGCCAACCCCGCAGCAGCAAGCGCGGGCCAGACCCGGCACCGCAGAGGGGAAGGCCGGCACCGCGCCTTTAGCCGACTCCCCAGGCCGAGGCCGGGACAAGCCTCGGCTCG